GCCTTACACTGTTCTTTTTCCAAACAAGTCACTATTTCCTGTTGAACCCAAGATATTTGGAAGCACATGCTATGTTCGAGATGTTCGACCATTTGTTACCAAGTTAGATCCCAAGGCATTGAAGTGTGTTTTTCTAGGCTATTCTCGCCTTCAAAAAGGGTATCGATGTTATTCTACTCAACTTGGGAAATATCTTGTGTCAAGTGATGTGGTATTTTCAGAGACTACACCATTCTTTTATGCACCTCCCAGTTCTACAAGCCAAGAGGAGGAAGATGAGTGGTTAGTGTATCAAGTCACCAGTGTTTCGACAGAACAACTAAATTTTGTTTCTCCAACTCCCAATTCTTCTGTGGATCATCACTCACCTGATGTACCTTCCGTGCCTGCCCCATCTGCACTAGCAAGACCACCAATTGTTCAAGTTTACTCTAGGAGACGAGAGACCAATGATTCTTGTCATGCACCAATTTCGTCATCATCTGACCCTCCTCTGTTTACTCCTCCAGAAAACCTTGATCTCCCTATTGCCCTTCGCAAAGGTACACGTGCCTGCAAATCTACATATTCCATTGCTAATTTTGTTTCCTATGATCGCTTATCCTCTACTTCTAGATCTTTAATTGTTTCTCTAGACTCCGTCTCTGTACCCAAAACAGTGAAGGAGGCTTTGAATCATCCCGGATGGTCTAATGCAATGCTTGATGAAATACATGCCTTAGAGGAGAACTGCACGTGGGATTTGGTGGATTTACCTAAGGGAAAGAAACCAGTGGGATGTAAGTGGGTCTTCACAGTTAAAGTTAATCCAGATGGTTCCATAGCAAGACTTAAGGCTAGACTTGTGGCTAAAGGGTATGCTCAGACATATGGAGTAGATTATTCTGACACATTCTCCCCGGTTGCCAAACTCACTTCTGTTCGCTTGTTCATTTCTCTAGCTGCTTCTGAGAATTGGCCTTTGCATCAGTTGGATATCAAGAATGCGTTTCTACATGGTGATCTTCAAGAGGAAGTGTATATGGAGCAACCACCAGGTTTTGTTGCTCAGGGGGAGTATGAGAAAGTTTGTCATTTGAAAAAGTCTTTGTAAATCGGCAAGTTGATCGTGAGGAGAAATGTGTTGTAGAGTGATGAGATGATCGATAACCAATTATCAAATGTGATGGCAGTCCACCTCTATATCCTTTGTGTTTTCAAGTTGCAACGGGTTTGTGGCTATTTTAATCGCACTAGAGTTATCAACATGCAACACTGTAGGAAATGTAATAGGGACACCGAGATCAGATAATTGCCGTTGTAGCCAAACAATTTCCAGACTTGCTGCCGACATAGCACAATACTCAGCCTCCATAGATGATTTTAGATGTCCTGTAGAGAAAAATGAAATGATTCAAATGAGTTGTAGTGAAGCCAAAAGGAGAAAGTGCTGATGTTTCATTGGTTGGATGGTTGGTTGGCCACTTGTACACTCAGTTCTTAGGCGTCCCCGTGCACAAATCCTTCACAGAAAAACTTGAATGGTGAAAACTCAACTTGTTAAGAGATTCTGTTATACAGCAAGCCACAAGAAGAATCTGTGTTTAGGCAGTAACACCAGAACCCATATAATCGGAGCGACATCCATAGTTTTTCTATTTCCAAGTAAAACTAAATAGCTAGCAGTAACACTATATTTTCCAGTAGGGGTTAATGTGCATCTGTCTCCTACATACCAATTCACCATTGTGAGCATCATTTTATGCATCCTCTTCCAATACCAACTACAATCCACAATCGACTGCTTTTAATATACTCTGTGGGTGTATAAAAACAGACCCCCAAAAGTTATGCAAGGAGAATAGGACAGAATTAATAACCTGCAATTATCCTGCATATGACAGATGCCTAGCAGCTACAGCTGAAATCTTTGTTGTAATCTTCAAGAGAAGTTGGTTGCAATCCTGTTTGTTCCACTTTTTAGGAGATAAGGGCAATCCCAAGTATCTAATGGAAACTCGCCTAATACAAATCCAGTAAGTCCCAGAATTCTTGCATTGGTTTCTTCATCAACACTGCTAGGAAGACACTGAATTTCTCCGTATTTGTCGAGCATTTTGGATGTAAGCAATATTTGGACAGTTTGGTAAGGTTGTCATGTGAACTTATGAAAGAAATAATTGAAGTCTGGTGATTATGCAGCATTGCCAGGAAAACTTTTCATTTTATTCACTGAACCAAAGGAGTATTTATTGAAAGTGTATTTTATACTGTCCCCTTGGGTTGCAAGGGTGGTTTGTAATCTTACACAAATAGAACCTTAGTCTACACTCAATTATTTTCTTATTCTTCTTTTTGATACAACGCCTCACCAAACTAAGTTTCTCTCTTCTCTTTTTGATTACACAGTAATTCACTCAGAACAACAATGCTTAATACAAGTAGAGCACAGATTGTAGGAAGGTTCAGTCAAGATGTATATATCTTCAGTCTTTATATAGTGTTGAGGAAACCCGAGAGATTTGATCCTTGTTTCCAAGAATAAGGCAAAGTCTTTTATTGACTTTGATATCTTCTATCCAAATCAGTGCTGCAGCTTTGATATTTTAGGAGTTGTCCGTCCTTAATATCTTCTTGACGATTTCCTGTTGTGCTTTCCTGCATATCATTCGTCAAATTTAACACTAACATTTATAAGCAGTACAAAGAGTGACAGTAATAGGAAATATACAACAGACCTTTCATTTGATACTCATAGTTTTCAAGCACATGGAATGATACAAGTTCAGATCAGCTGGTTGCTTTGCTTCATTGTGCTGTTTTCATGTTACTCTTTGGATTTTATTGTACTGTACCTCGAATAGATATTGAAAGTCTGGAAATTGATTGTAATTCATGAACATATTGCATGAACTGAGATGACATGTTTGAGACTTCTATGGAACAAAGAGAATTTAGCTTATCCAACCCTTTTGGAAGCTCAACAAGAGAAGGGCAATATCCAAAATTCAATGTCTCAAGCTTTGTCATTGCGCCATGTGGTATCTCTTCCCAACTTTTAAGATTTTGACAATGTAGAATGGATAATTTCTTCAGTTTGGGGAAGCCTTCATGTCCAAACTCAATGTTTTTCCCATCATATGAATTGCAAAGTGATAGCACCATAAGATTAGACAGATGTTGGAGAGACCTTAGAGGATCTTTAGTAAGCTTACTGTCCCATAAATATAAACTCTTAACATAGTGTAACTTACCAACCCAATCAAGTAAATTATTCATCATAGGACCACCAATACAAAGCTTTTCCAGGCTGTACAGTTGAGGGAATGGAAACTTGTAACTTTCATCCTCAAAAGAACCTTTCATGGTAAAGGATCTGAGGAATTCCATCCTTTCGACAGCCTTAAACAAGGGAAGCAAATGTAAACCTTGTACTGCACCAATCGATAATTTTCTTATCCCTCTTAAATTAATTAGCCCTTTTGCTATAGCTTCTGTCATTTTGAGTCCAGCAAGCGTTTGCAGATCTATAAAGGCTTCAATAATCCCATCCCTAAGATTCACTACCTTGTCGGTAAATGATCTTTCAAGAAGAAGATGTCTCAGCTTCTGCCAGCCTTCTAAATCATCAGGCAAGTCCCTTATAACTGTGTCCCTAATGTCCAAAGTTTGTAATCTCTGTAACTTCTTGAGAGACACTGGTAGTTTCTTAATCTTACCACTCCTCAATCCTAAATACCGCAGTAAAGATAGATCTCCTATGGCATCAGGCAATGATTCATGACAAAAACCTTGAAGTTCCAAGACACATAACAATCTGAAGTCATTTAAATTAAGGGGTGCTTGGTGCTGATTTAGTTCAAGTGCAAGAAAAGAGTACAGCCCGCTAAAATCTTTTCGAGAGAACTTACTCGTTGAAGTACCATCATAGCTGGCACCATATAGAAATGCACGATGACATCTCTCAGGGAACGCACGCTTTAAGCTTGGAAGGATGACAGTAAAATGATCTCCTTCCGATCGTCTCAAAGCAAATTTTCGCATCCTTCTGAGGATTCGACAAGTTTTGACCCTTCCATCTATGTTTCTCTTGACTACCTGAATCATGTTCCTGTGGATGAGCTCATCTAGTTGATCCTGTGCTGATTCCTCCAAAGTTCTGTTGTCTTCATGCTGCACGAAGTCCTCGGCTATCCACAGACGCTTCATCTTTTTACATGAGATCTCAAAATGACAAGGGAACGAGGCAGCATATAAGAAGCAGCTTTGGAGTTCTGGGCTCAAATCAGCATAACATAATGACATGAAGCAAGCCCCTCTCAAAAACATTTGATGGACTTTGATCCAATCTTCAGCCGTGTGCTTTGTTGAGAGCATCCTTCCAACTGTTACAATAGCAAGAGGGAGACCACAACTTAGTCTTACAATATCCTTAGCTACTGAATCTACAGATGAAAAGAATTCATCGCCACGCTCAGAGGTGCAGGCATGCTTGTGGAGCAAGTGGTATGAATCAACTGACTTTAGTTTGCATAACTTGTATTCATTGAGCTCGTTTGATACCCGAGAAGTAACAAGTATCCTTGTTTTTTCTCGGCCTCTAGGCATAACATTAGTTACAACTTCAACGATTTCCCATGATGGAATATCGTCCAAGATCAGCAGGAACTTCTTTCCAATCAACCAACTGTTGATCAACTTCTTCAAGGGCTTTTCTCCCATTGTGTCTATATTGTATGGAGCCATGACTGAAATGCTTTTCAGGATTCCTTTCAATATGTTTTGCATGACGCGCCTAGTTGAATCATTTTTAGACACGAAGACCCAAGCATGACAGTCAAAATCTTTTTGGCCTTGCTCATATACAGCTTCTGCAACAGTTGTTTTGCCAATTCCTGCCTCCCCGGATATGGTGATAATGTCGGGACATTCTTCCTCCTTTGCCAATAACCATCCTTCAAGAAGTTTCACCTCCTCCTCCCGGCCTACCATGTCTGCTGATTCAAGATTCATTCGAATATGGTTAGTCCTTATATCATTGTTTGTGTTGATTGTTTTTAAAGATGATGCAGAAAAATACATATCCAAATATCTCTCAATATTTCATCAAGCATAACAATAACATACCCAGTGAAATCTCACAAGTGGGGTCTGGGGAGAGTAGAATATACGCAGACCTTACCACTACCTCTTGGAGATAGAGAGGCTGTTTCTAAAAGACCATCAGCTCAAGTGTAGCAAATCCCAGTACAAAGAAGGAGATAGTAAAGAAAATATAACAGGCAACAAGGGAACAGTGCAAAGTATACCAGAAGAGAGCAAAAACAACAACAAAATAGTGCGATAACTGAAACACAATAAACAACATACTAGGATAGATTATTGAAAACAACGATAAATATCAAAAACACAAGAGCTACAATAATACAACTAGTACCTATCTAAGGTCATGACCTCGTTAACAAAAATTACTGCAATAACTAAAACAGTTTGAAAGGAAATTACCAACTAGCTGATGCTGATGGGATCTGTTAATTGCAAGGAATTCTTCCCCCTTTGCATATGACCATCCTCCAAAAAGTTTCACCTCCTTCGCCTGATCTATCATGTGTGCTGATTCAAGAAATATGGCATCCTTCACCTGGCCTTCCATGTGTGCTGATTCAAAATTCATTCGAATTTGGCTAGTTGTTGAACCATTGTTTGAAAGTAAGTTACCAAGTGACCATTGCTGATGCTGACGGTATACTGTCCTTTCCAGATTCAGCAACAACTCTGTCATCTCGGGGCTGGTAAGCACTTCCGATACCTTACTTAGCAACAGTACACAATCCTCAACAGAAGTCTGATCAAGAGTGAAGATGGCCTGAATCATTGGTGAGGCTCTGATGGACCTAGAGAGAATTGACAAACAATTCCTTATTTTATCAGCCACGTTATTTGAATCCGTCTTGAAATGACACGAATACAAGAACTTCATGTAGAATGTTGGAGTATTGAACAAGTTATACATGTGGAAGTTATACATGATAAATATTTGTTCAACCTCAGCTGCACAAACTGCAACTGACCAATGCCAGGTATTCAATTCACTTATATCAACGCGATCATTTGATTTTCTTCCCTCTTGTTCCTTTTCACGATTAATCAATTCATCCCATTCAGCATTCTGTACATGAGGCAGCAAAAGACTGAATACTTTCTCAATATCGCGAAGCTCTTCAGATATACGAGTATCAACTTTATACATAGGAAATGCTTTTAGTTTTCGTAGAAAGTTGCTCACTGCTTGAGCTGCCATCTTTTTTACTTTAAATTGTTAGATCAAATTTGAGTGAAAAATTTGGAGGGAAATGTTCTCATGATTCTATAATTTTTTCCATTATATAGATGAAACATAATTTTATTATAATATTAGCAAATCAATCTGTTAGATAATATCTCAGATGGTCACTCTATACTTTAAACACATTATTACAAAAATAGAATGTATCTAACTGTATTATCCCATAAAAATATGAATCGCGTAACTCACACACATTGTCTCTACTAATTAACCAACAAGTGGCTAAAGAATATTGGACATAAAAGTTGGTTGAGTTAGGTCTTGCCTGATCAAATACTGTTTAAATTTACTTAACCGATTTTGATCAACTTAAATATAGTTCAACTCGCTCATTTGACGATTTTAATATATCATCATATTCACAAATATGAATTCTATTATGATCTCCTTACAACATATCTTTCAATTCCATAAATCTTCAATATAATTGTATCAAAGTTCATTCTGTTTTTGGGACAGTTTCTCAAAGCAAGTTCCTATGGTGTGGTTTCACGCTAGATAATATCTCAAATGGTCACTCAACTATAAACTCATTTCACAGAAAGTCTCTCGACTTGATTTTTAACTCAAAAGTCACTCAACTATGAATTTTTTTCACAGCATTGTATTTGGGTTGACTTTTTAAAATTGGAATGTGAGTAGAAAAAGCAAGGTTCATGTTGATCAAGTCTTGCATTGACTTTTTTAGGACCCGTTTGGTCATGATCATTTTTTTCCACTTTATTTGAAAAACAGTGTTTGATCATAAAAATGTTAAATGCAACTTGAAGTTGTATTTGGAATTTGAAAAACACACAAAATCCTATTTTCACCTTTATGAATTTTTCTTTTTCAAAATTATAAACTATCATATTTTCATGTGTTTCATACCTTAACTATCACTTCTTTTGTATTAAGACACACCTCAATATTGAGTTGACCAGCACACACCTATTGCCGATTGAGAACAAATATTTGATCAACTTAGCATTGAGGTATGTTTCAATACAAAGAGAGTGGCAATTTAGGTAAGTAAAGAAAATAATGGTATATAGTTTATATAAAAAAAGGAATTTTTGTGAATATTAGTAAATACTAATTATTATTTTTTGCCAAACACCAAATGAATTAGTACATAAAATATATTTTTCCCACCCAATGTTGAGTATTGTATTAATATTGGGGTTGTGTTATTTCAGATTCCGCATTATGTAATATCCATTTAAGAAACAAACATTTCATAACGAGATTTTTTTATATCCATGACTTGAACTCAACGTCTCATAAAATACTAACAACAGAAGGTTGAAGCAGGCGCAAGTCAAGTAGAATATTTACAAGTTGTCTATTATATGATCACCTCTCATTCCTCATATTGACATAAAATATCAAACAATTTTAACCATAAAAAAAAGTCTCAAACTCTCAATAATTTAAAACTTGCTAGCATTGACTTATCTTTTTAACAATCATTTGGCAAAACACAAATGAATTGCATATATATAATAGAGTTAATTATGATAAAACTCACACTTAAACTAACATATTTTCAGGAGTTTCATATCCTAACTATCCATTGTTCTATCTACCTATCTAAACTATCATCATTTAACTCGTAAAACATGGACAAATAAGTGATTTATTAGAAATCACTAAATTGAATTAGTTCTTTTAATCAACATGGATGCAAGTAATTAACAGATCCATACCAACTGTCATCATATTACCTAAGAGCCAGCTCTTTTGAGGCTTTGTCAAGGTTAAATGATTTATGATGAACTCTTAAATCAGTTTATATTAGTTCAATAATAATAATAATAATAATATATTAATCTATTTCTTGATAAACAAACTTTTTCCAAAATGCAGATAGTTTCAAACTTCAAGCATACGAGTCTAAAGTTTAAAATCCCCCCCCCCCCCTCTAAAACTCGACATTGAGTGGTTCAATGACCCGCCCAATCCAGTACATTAAAAAGTTGAACCAATTTGGTATATAGTTCAAATTGATACACGAGAAAAATACTTATATGTATCAAAAGCAAAATTTGATACGAGTTGGTTAAATTAGGTCTTGGCCTGTTCATCTAAGCCCAAATAACCCCAACATTTATTATTCACTCAATTGATTTTGATTAGCTCAATTACAGTTCAACTTGATTATTTAACGACCTTAATATATCATCATTTCATAAATAAAGGACCATATGGATCCTTCTATATTATTTCCACCAACTATATCTCCTCCCCCCCAACAAATTTTTTTTTGACTTAATTGTCCTTCTCCACATCGGTTGACGGGCAATAGTAATTTTCGAATCTATAGCAATAATTGAAGTGTAATGATTTGAAGAAATGAGTTTTAAATTTCAAATATAAAAAAGTGAGTTTAAATCAAGTGGCCGGATATTATTAAAAAAACGTGAAATTATACAAATGTATTGATGAGTTGATGATTGAGATTTGTTTTTCATGATAATTTTAGAACTTATATGTCAAACTTGAGCTCATTGGAATTGATTTAGGTGCTCATGTGTTAGATTTTTAAAATTCGAAGAACAAGTTATTCTGAACAAGAAATTATTTAGGCAAAAAATCGATAAACTTTAGGTATATGTATACCTTAAGGTCATGCAAAAGTGCCTAAAGTTTTTCTACTTTCAGTTGTCTCAAGTTAAATTTTGGCATGTCAAACTTCAAGCGCAAACTGAAAGTTTGTGTCTGAAATTGATTTAAAGTGAATAACTTGTTAAACTTTAGAAATTTCGATATAACTTAAAAGAAAGTGATGAAATCGATGATAAATGATCATTCATGTGTAATCCTTACCCCTAAAAAAATCATCACATACATGTTGGTTATCTAATTGAACCACTAATATTTTAATTAAGGGGAAAAATCTTACATATGTCATTGAATTTCATGAAAATGTTCATTTATGTCATTCGTTAATAGTTGGGCTCAATCGTGTCACTATTGTTATGTAAACAGTCTATTTATGATATTATTTTTCAACGATCATGTTTGATGATAATTGAGCAGCTGCAAGGTTAAGCCCAATTATTAACGGATGACATAGATGAATCATTTTTGTAACGATTGTGACATAATTGAGCTCAACTATTAACGGATGACACAAATAAATCTTTCTTAAAAAAATTGGATAACATATATCTGAGTTTTTTGCTTTCATTAGTATTGATCCTACTACCAAGAAATTCTTTGAAATTAAATTATAAGACACGTGACATTTTTTATTATGATCACCATCATCATAACATATATACATTCGAATTGACTTTAATTAGAGAAGACTAGTCAAATATAACAATCAATTACTATACTTCAATAAATTAGCATAACATATAATAAGGTTCACGCGTGTTTACCGAGTATTGCATTGAATTTTTTCGTTTTGAGCAGTTCGTTTTAATTTGTTTGACTTATTTTAATTTGATACGAATTTAAAAAAATAAAAAAATATTTTAAATTTTTTTATGATCTTAAATTAAAGATATATTAAACGTATCAAAATACCCTTTATCTTGTAATTAAACGAAAAAAATCATTCTTTTTTAAACAGATTAAAAAGAAAAATAAATTAAATAAATTGAAATGGAGGAGTACACAATTTAATTATTCAAAAAATATCTATAACTAACAAGAGTGAGATTTGTAATTTAAAAAATAACCGAAAATACCTACTATAATAGCTAAAATGGTGTGAAAGGAATTTTTGTGAATATTAGTAAATTCTATTTGCCAATCACCAAATGTATTTCATTATATATATTTTTCCACTTGGTGTTAAGTATTAATATTAGGGTTGGATTAATTCATATTTCGTACTGGTAATACTCATTTAAGAGAAAAGTTTTTCATAATCAAATTGTTTTTATATTCCTGACTCAAACTCGATGACGCATAATAAATTACTTAGTTAAGGCAGGCGCAAGTTAAATCGAATATTTATGAATTGTCTTTTATATGATGGGTTCTCATTCCGCATATAAAACTTTTAAGCTTCAAGCTAACTTGTTAAACTTTCATTGACATAAATTATCAATTAATTTAAACGACAACAAAAAAAACACAACATGATTTGCATAAATAGTAGAGTTAATGATCAATAACACACATAAATGATATATCATTTTTTCATGAGTTTCATACCTCAACTATCACTTTTTTTTTGTATTAAATAACATCACGATATTGAGTTGACCTACATGTGCCTATTGTCGATTAGAAACAAATATTGGATCAACTCAGCATCGAGGTCATGTGTTTCAATACAAAGAGAGTAATAGTTTAAATAAGTAAAGAAAATATATAATGAAATAATTGAGATAGAAAACTTGTAAAAAATTCATAGAAGGTTGAACTTTGAAGCAGGCAGAGGGGTAATTGGAAAAGAAATTCTAATCCACAAATTAACGATGACTATAAAATTTTCAATCACTCTCAAATAAGTTATGTTGGTGATATAATTCTTTATAACAATTTGATATATACTAAGGTTCCTTTCACAATAACATGACTCTATCAACTTGAATAGTAAGTCATAAGTTGAATATTTTAAAAGAGGTTTATATTATATGATGAATAATGGAGCTTGAATTATGACGTAACTTATATTAAAAATACATAATTCCATCTTAAGGTTGTCAAGAAAAATAATTTACAAATTTACCTATTAGGGGGTTTATTTAGTTTCACTTTAAACGATAAATATTTTGTCTGAATAGTTAAAATGTGTAAACGACTTTTCTAGATGACTTAACATACAACAACTTGCTTGATGATTATTGACTCTAACATTTAACGCGTAAAACATAGACAAATTAGTGATTAGCAGATCATAAAATTTGATTAGTTCTTTTTAATCAACATGGATGCAAGTAATTAGCAAGATCTATAATTAGTATATCAAAACCAACTGTCATATTACCTAAGAGCCAGCAATTTTTTGAGGCTTTGTCAAGGCTAAATGATTGAAGATACTCTTAAATCAGATTATATTAGTTTATAAAAATATATTAATCTATTTTTGATAAACAAACTTTTCCCCCCAAAATGCAGGTAGTTCAAACTAAATTTGAAATGTCTGGCTAAATATAATTTGAGAGATAAATATAAGGCATAATATATAAAATATGTTTTTTAATTTGACCTTCACTGACATTTATGCCCTCAAACTTTAGGTATGCACAAGTAGACACTTAATTTTTTTATAAAATTAAACAAGTTGACACACGAATTTTCTAGGCCATTTTCAAATTAAACTGAATGCAATTGATGAATGAAATGGGCTTTTTGATCCTTAGGCCCCAAAAGGAGATCTGTCAAAATTCATAATTGGGCCAAAATCTAAAACACACTTTTATTGGGTAGTTCACAAGATGAGTTTCTCATACTACAAAGTACAGAGATTGAGACTTTGAAGGAAAGTTTTAAGTTTTGGTGTCTTCTCAATTTTTGTCACTTTTCGCTTTCCGAAAATCAATTTAACTAATATTTGAAAGTCAAGGACGAAATGTGTCGACTAGGGCTTTGCCGAACCCATAGGTTGGTTCAAACTTTGTATTTTGTCTTAAAAATTCATTGGATATTTAAATAGGAACTATGTCAATTTAAATAGGAATGGAGGAAAGTATAAAGACACTGATAATTTAGGTAGGTAAATAAACAAGTAAATAGTTGTGGTATGAAATTCATAAAAAAAAAAAGTGACACTTGTGGTAGAGCATTTGAGTTTGGTTTTTTGATTTCTCATTTGGTGTTCGATGCTCAAATTGAAACCTAACTAATTTAGATTCGCATCGTGTAGGACTACATTCAGAAAAAATTCTCTTTACCAAGAATTTTTCTATATTCATAACTCGAAATTTTCTTTATAAACCACTTTTTTTAAATTAATTTTTTTTTTAACCCTACATGCTAAAAATCTGGGAAAATAATTTTTTCTTTTTCCTGTCCACTGTATTTCAACTTCCTTCGTAGGGTTTTAGTTTTGTGTTCCAACATTCACCACTCTTTTTCCTTTCTTCGAGGTATGCTTAGTATTTTCCTACCTTGTAATTTTTAGCTTCTGTATAATTATCTTTGTTTTGCTATATGCATATTACATTCTCGATGCAATAATCTTTTATCTCCCTAATGGCAATAGGACCAGCAAGAAATCTTTTTTATCTGTATTTATCCAAGAATAATGTATCAAAGTTGAGATTTTTATCAGTTTCTAGTGGATTCCTGCATACCCATTTTGCAGAACCAAAAAAAATTCAAGATTTTGATGTTTATGGACACAGAATACCAACCCCACCTCAGTTTTCATCTTTATGGTGTAATCAATGGAAAAGATTGAATCTTTTTCATTTTTATGGACACCATTTTACCACAGTGGTGGAAAATGGGGATAATGAATTAGAAGTTTGTGATTTGGATGTGGAAGAGAATGAGTGTGGAGATGGAGGATTAGGGTCTGAGAAAAGATTGAATTTTGTTCAAATAGCTAGTCGTGATCCGGTGGAAATATATAGGGAGCTTAGGGATGCTACCAAGTGTGAAAAGCAAACACGAGCTGATTGGGATACTTTGATTGAGATATTTAGATGTTTTGCTCAGTCTGGATGGGCTTCGAATCAGGCTCTAGCTGTGTATATTGGGGCTTCATTTTTTCCTACAGCAGCTCAGAAGTTTCGAAATTTTTTCTTTAAGAAGTGTAAGGTTGATGTTGTTAAGTACTTAGTGTCGCTTGGTCCGTGTATTGAAGCTGAGAAGATCCTGTTTCCAATCTTTGTGGAGTTTTGCTTAGAGGAGTTTCCTAATGAGATTAAAAACTTCAGGAAAATGGTTGAGTCGGCGGATTTGACAAAACCTCATACTTGGTTTCCATTTGCCAGGGCAATGAAACGCAAGATCATATATCACTGTGGTCCCACAAATAGTGGTAAAACATATAATGCATTGCAAAGTTTCATGGAAGCAAAGAAGGGTATATATTGTAGTCCTCTACGATTATTGGCTATGGAAGTTTTCGATAAAGTGAATGGATTAGGGGTATACTGTAGTCTTCTTACAGGGCAGGAGAAGAAGCATGTCCCATTCTCTAATCATGTTGCTTGCACGGTTGAGATGGTTTCGACTGATGAGATGTATGATGTAGCCGTTATTGATGAAATCCAAATGATGGCGGATACACATAGAGGTTATGCATGGACGAGGGCTCTACTAGGATTAAAAGCCGATGAGATACATGTTTGTGGAGATCCAAGTGTTTTGAATATTGTTCGCAAAGTCTGTTTTGAAACTGGGGATGAGTTGGTAGAACAGCACTATGAGAGGTTTAAGCCATTGGTGGTTGAAGCAAAGACCCTTTTAGGTGATCTCACAAAAGTGAGGTCCGGGGACTGTGTTGTTGCCTTTTCAAGAAGAGAGATATTTGAAGTAAAATTGGCGATTGAGAAGCATTCTAATCACCGTTGTTGTGTAATATATGGTGCCTTACCACCGGAGACACGACGACAGCAAGCTACCTTATTTAACGATCCAAACAATGAGTTTGATGTCTTGGTTGCCAGTGACGCAGTCGGAATGGGTTTAAACCTAAACATTCGGAGAATCATCTTCTATACCTTGTCGAAGTACAACGGTGACAGGATTGTTCCCGTTCCTGCATCACAGGTGAAGCAGATTGCTGGAAGAGCTGGTCGAAGAGGAAGTCGCTATCCTGAAGGACTAACAACTACTTTGCAGCTGGAGGATTTAGACTATTTAATCGAGTGTCTGAAGAAGCCATTTGAAGAAGTTAACAAAGTTGGGCTCTTTCCTTTCTATGAGCAGGTTGAGTTATTTGCGGGACAAATTCCTAACTCTACATTCGCCGAGCTGCTTGATAGATTTGGTGAAAATTGCCGTTTGGATGGTTCTTACTTCTTGTGCCAGTATAACCACATAAAAAAGATAGCTAATATGCTGGAGAAAGTTCAAGGATTATCTCTTGAAGATCGTTTCAATTTTTGCTTCGCCCCTGTTAACATTCGAGACCCAAAAGCAATGTACCATCTTCTGAAGTTTGCTTCATCGTATGCACAAGCTCTGCCTGTTAATATAGCAATGGGCATGCCAAATTGTTCTGCTCGTAATGATTCAGAACTCTTGGATCTTGAGACTAAGCACCAAGTGTTGTCCATGTACATGTGGTTATCTAATCACTTTGAGGGGGATAAGTTTCCATATTTCAAAAAGGCCGAGGCAATGGCAACAGGGATTGCTGAGTTACTAGGTGAATCACTAGCAAATGCTCGTTGGAAACCAGAGTCGAGGAATGCTGGGAAGCAACAAAAAGTGGTAAAGAAAGACCAAGGTCAGTTGTTAACTAATTATAGTGAATTCCTCTTGCCCCCTTTTTTATTTCTTTATTGACTCCATATAAGCGAGCGTGAAATTTCCAATTTAAAAAAGAATACACAAATGACCTCTATGTTATATTGTCATGCATGGATCTAGATCCTCCACCCCCCAATTGTCAGAGGCAAGTATTACCTGTTTTTGGATTTGCTACAATAACCTAGATGTCAGTTGTCACTTACTTAAGTAGAGACTTTGGATTTGTGCAATTGTGTAGATGAGGTGATTGCCATTCCAGCTCTTCATCCTTAATCCTCATTGAAGTAAATGATAAAAAAATCCTCATTGAAGTACTAAAAATGGAAGGTATTAATTTCTGGTTCTGTAACTGGTGCATAGAAAGGACTTAATCCATTTTCCTTGAGGTGAAAGTAAGTGTGTTACGTCAGTAGAACAAATTTACATGGTTATTGGCTTGGTAGGTTGCACAGCTAAAGAACATCTGCAGGACTGCTTCAGTGGTGGTACCACAGTGATGTCCTGTTGAAACTGATCAGTAATAAGATAATAGCATCATAGTCCTTTTTTAAAGAAAAAACGGTGGTGTCTGAGCCACAGCTTGCGCACACCTAGAATATTCCATGGTACCATAGTGAATTCCTGTTGAAACTGATAGGTACGATGATGATAGCATAATAGTGTTTTTTTTAAAATCACGGTGGTGTCCAGACCAGCCTGTGCGCACCTCAACTATTCCTCCGGGAACCACCTACCTCTCACCAACACATGTACTATGATGATAGCATAATAGCACTGTTATGAGACGAGGGAAGATGTTACCACTTGGTTTCTTGTTCCCTGTACTGCATGCCATGCTTCCAAAGACCTATGTTGCTTGAACTCTCGAAAATATTGTGGCACTGGTGTCGTCGTCCAACATGTACAACGTTTGGATGATGTAACACGCACCCGACTACATTTTTGAAGAGTCCGAGCAACCTAACCAAAGACCAAAGATATCTGCATCTTACATGAGCCTGAATCTTATTTTAAGTATACTGCATGAAGAGATGATAGGTTGACAAGGTGCATTGAAGTCTTTGCTTAACCTAGATCTATCGTTGCAAAATGTACTCATATACAAGTCGAAAGGCTTTGTGCCAATCTTTTGCTACTTAAACAATTCACTGTTGAAATCATGTTTGTTATATCCTTCTTTCATCTTATTACCTTATGTGACCATGTTCAGCAATATAAGTATTTTCCCTGCGAGAGCCAATCCTAAGATGTCATGAACTTGCATATTAATTTGGTTCCTTTTACAGGAGAAACCAAGGAACAGCTTTGTCTCAACACCAGTAGCCACAGAAGATTGCAGCATGATACTGCTAGTTTAGCGCTTCGTGTACCATAGACTAATACAGGCGCCCAAGCAAAGCACGCAGTCTTGTACAGCTCCCAGATACAGTAGACTAGAATTAGAATTATAACAAGGAAGAAGAGGCAAGTTTCATCCAAATGTTATCGTGTTAGGTCCTTCTGGAGGATGCATAATTTTTGTCCTTGAACTCGTGCATGTTTAGTCTGATGCATCATGTTTATTAAAGGAATAAAAGATTCAGAAGAAAGGGTATCGGTGCTGCTTGTTGGTTTCACTTGTACTAGACTGACCTGTTCAATCATAAACTACTCGAGTGAAGCTGGAGATTTAACGACTATAAGAGTTTGTGATTCCAACACATAGAAGCTGCGTCAAAATCTAGCAACATCAAGCAGAGATGGATTCAAGATTTGAACTTGATGTGTTTAGCCTTTTAAATAGTTAGAACTGAACTCATTGTACTACAATTATGAGTTGAATTTCATATTTTTTGTAATTTAGTGGTTATTCATTCATATAAATGATGCATCTAATTTGAGAATCGAGAGGTGGAGGATTCTGATGCTTAGTGTGTTTGTTTTGTTAGGTGAGCTATCTTATTTTAGTCACTTAAAACTATTCGATGAGTCTTTTATGTTGTATTGTGTATATCATGCATGTGTCTTGTTGTGAGATCATGGGAATTTTTTGATCTACTAATAATATTTCAGGCTCTATATAAAAAAATAATGACCAAGTTTAGTCTTTTCCTGTTAAGGTATTTGTCTTTGCCTTTTGCCTATTCTGGAATTTGATGTGTGCATTAAGGTGTTTTCAAGCTTGTATGAAATGAAAAAGTTTGTCACATGCTTGACATTTGTAAACGCTTCTAGAACTTGAATATTGTATGGCAAGGAAGATATAGTTACTTGCACTCGATGTTTACATCAAATCAGTCACTAGTTGCCTCATTCTAACTCACTCCCTTCTTCCTCATCATCTTTTGGAAAGCCTACACCCTGTAGAAACTGTTTGCCTCATTTCAATTTTTATAGTTCTTGTGTTTGATAGTTAACTTAAGAGTTAAGTGTACTCATTTCATAGTTCATTTTCTCCAAAGTATGACTAGATATGCTTCAAATTGAGCTTTTACTTAACAACAAATATGAAATAAAAAGTCCTAGTTAATGGATGATATAGTTCTCCATTGTGCTGAATTGATATAAAGTCTTATTATGTTAGAAAAGAGTTTCTCCAGTTTCATATATTTGTGCTGAGAATGAATTTCAGTTTTCTCCAACCTTGGTGTGGAAAACTCAACAATCACAGCAAACCTGCTGATTAAATTACAGAAAAAGGTACAAACTAGAGATCCAAGTTGTTGGTGCCATTTATGAGGACATTCACTGTGGCACATCAATTTACAGTCTTCTCTGCTCTCTTCTTTTGATCTCAATACAAAAAAATCCATCAACTTTAAAACTGATAACACTGGCAGGAAAAAGTGAATGGAAGAAACTTATTACAGGTACCGAGACCCGATGCTCATTTCTTTAGCAAGGCACTACACTGAGCCATAATCTTTGAGGCCCTAGTAATTGCATCAGTCATGTAGAAATTCGCCACGGCAGGTGTGAATGGAGTTGCACTTACTTTTTGGATGACTTCAGGTCTCAAAGAAGTTGAGAATGTGGCTGGTTGTCTCTCATCCACTTCTAGGAGATTTGGTGCTACTGTCTTAATTCGAGATCGGATTGCACCTAGACTATCGTAGGGTAATCCGACACCTGCCACTTCAGACAATGCTCTTACTATCTTCCAATCATCCCTGGCGTCACCAACAGTGGGAACTGCTGGTAGTGTGATCTGAGCACATCCTTCTGTGTTTTCATATATTCCTTCTTTCTCTGTGAAAGCAGATGCTGGCAAAATGACATTGGCACGATACACACCGCGATCACCATGGTGACCTTGGTAAACAACAAAGGCATCATCTGGAAGTTTGTCCAAGTTCACATCATCAGCACCCATCAAATATACAAACTTTGCAGACTCAATGCATTTATCAGATTCAGGCACAAGTCCAAGATCAAGAGCGGCAGCTTGGGCAGCATTCAGAAGCAAAACATTTAGTCCATTCCAGTCAGGTCTCACGACATTATTGTTCTTTGCAATAGTGTCAACAGCAGCAAAGACAGCATCCTTATCATCTCGATCAAACACTCCAGCACCGACGATGATCACTGGGTTCTTAGCATTTTTGAGAGCTGAGGAAAATGGATGGCTTCCCTTGGCAATTTCAACTAGTGTTTGAGGGTCTGTTCCAAGATGTTCATGATCATAGTTGAAATCAGCAGCAGGCCCAACATAACCTACCTTAGCATTTGTAGCTTTAACTGTTTTGTGAATTCTGGCATTCACCATAGCAGCTTCCACCCTTGGCTGGAAAATTCAAGAAGATAGTAGCCAATAATCAATAGAGCATGAGAATAATAGATACACAGCTAGCTAAAGGTAATAAATTCCTAAATAAACAAATGTACAACGTTGTCCTCAATGGAGCTATCATAAATCTTTTTTTTTGAAATTATGGAGCTATCATAAATCTTTATCACACTTCTGAATATCATCCATGTGATTCGCAAAATTAGGCTAGCCAATTCAACAACATTTTGATCTTTCAACAATTAGCTTAAGTAGCCAAAACATCACCTGGTCTAATAATTAGCACATTCAGTAGAAGTCAAAAATCATTCATTCCAGGAGGATAAAGTTTACCCCAATGACCATATTAGCTCTTTACCTTATTCCTCATCAGTAACAAGAGGACTAGTTTCCCTCTTATTATTAGTTAGAGAGGGATGAGCTGGTTTCATCAATTGCAATCATGTACGTTCTCAATCTAACCACCCTTCCCACTCAAAAGGACCCCCAGGGATTGTTTGTACTGTACTTGGGAACAGGAAAAAGGGTAGGCATGGAACAGAAACTGAATGAATGATCATGGAGTTTTTCCATCCACTAGGCACATATCGAAGAGATCAAGCGGCAACCCTTTTCCAAATTATAACCATGAAAAGGATTGCAAACATTTACCTGGGTTCCAACCAAGAGGAAAGCATCTGCTTTCTCCAAGCCACTAATGCTGGTATTCATAATATATCCAGAACGCAGGTCAGCATTTGGACGCATGCCATTTCCTTCACAAAAGATGTTGTTTGACCCCATTTTGTTCAAAAGATCCTTCAGTGCCATCATGGATTCTGCATCAGACAGTTTTCCTGCAACACCAATAATTTCCTCTGGCTTAATTTGATGCATGACTTCAGCAACAATAGCTAGGGCATCCCGCCAGCTCACTGCCTGAAATCGTCCATCAGCACCACGGATCATGGGGTCATTGAGCCTTTGCCTCTTCAGACCATCATAAAAGAATCGTGTTTTGTCTGATATCCATTCTTCATTGATGTCCTGTGCCATTATGTGCAGCAACTCACTCTTTTAATTTACAAAATCAAAAGCAAAGGAAAAACAGATGTAGAAAATAATAATTCTGAAACTACAACTAAGAAGTTAGTATACTGATAAATAAAAGTATCTACTTCGAGGAGTACAAAAATAGAACATTTTCAGAAGAAAAAACACATAAAAGAGAAATGATCAAGGGATCCAAATCATATCAAGGCAGTATTTAGTCATATTGACTCTTCTTCCTTTCGCTGCAGGTCGTATTTGCTTTTCTTGAATAGTACAGTGCAATGGCAGAGTGTAAAATAGACATACTTGCAGCAACCGTTGGCTGAAATATGTGAATGTGAAGGAATATGTGAATGTGAAGGGTAGAAGGATAAGGAAAATGAAGTCTACCACCTTATAAAAATCATTTTGATACAATACATCATCAACCTATATTTTGCTAACTACATGTTGTAATCAGGTGCAGCCTCTTCACATTGTCTGTTCTTCTCAAAAACAAAAACTCCTCTTACTAAAGTATTCAGCACAAATTATCAAATTTTGATCTAAACCGAGAACAAGAAAAAGGCAGAGCCTAGGGAACACTAAGCTAATGCACAAACACACTGGCAAAGTAGAAGTCAGATCCAGTTTTAAATCAGCTCTAAAGCTTGGGCTACCCTGAAACATTAAAAACTTGAATGACTTCCCAACTAGAACAAAATGCAGGAACTGGAGACACACAGGTGATCCTCATGAATAAGATAATCTACCATATATAAGCAAGACTACTCGGTTCAGAGGGGATAAAATAAGAGCTCCAATAAAATACAGTACCTCATTTAATCGTGGTACAACACGCATGACCTCCGGACCTCTACTATCAATTCGGATGTTAGAACCAACAGCATCAGTCACATCAATGCTTTCTGTGCCCTTTAGCTCCCAATTTCTGGCTTTGAAGGCAAAAGGTTTTGATGTAAGGGCTCCTACTGGACATATATCAATCACATTCCCTGAAAGCTCACTTGTCATAAGCTTTTCAACATAAGTTCCAATTTCTTCTCCACTACCACGACCCAACATTCCAAGGTCCTCCACTCCAGCTACTTCTGATGCGAACCTGACACACCTGTTTCACAAGCAGGCCAACAATCAGAGGATACTGTGCTAGAGATATAAAATGCACTCAAGCAAGTCTTTCCTATTCCTCCTGTATCTAAAGCTTAAACCTAATAAATATTTGCTATATTCAATCTCTCATACATGCTCTGAAGTTTTTTTTATAGCTGTATTACCAAAGAAGACAAATTTTGAGGTTATCAGTGGAAAGGAATAACTCAAGAAGGGCAGAAGCATGTCAGAGATGTGAAAGAGCCAGTTCAAATTGTTCTGTTGTAGGGTGGTATAACCACAAAATATGAATGTTAACATCCCACAAATTATGCAGAATAGGAGTGAATTGGAGACGACAGACTGGCATTTCTGCTAAGCCACTGGCACTTATAACACACCAATGTCCACTAAAATTACCACTCCCATCTTATCAGGCTACCTCTTCATTTTATTTTACTTTTTGGGGGAGGGAGATAAGGTATTAGGCTCTCTCTTCTTCTGACCATTCTTAATTAGAAATCACATGCATAAGGGACGAGCATTTAAATGATTTCCCGCTCTAACTTGCAAGTTTTTCTCATGAGATTTGGGAAACATAAAAAGATACAATATTGATGGCTGGTTATGTTACATCAACAAGATGTGTGTACGATTCAGATTCAGGATGCAGGTATGTAATTATCCAGTATACATCTCTACCCTTTTTTGCTATTTTTAATCTATTATAAACCTGCACAATGTAACTATACTCAAGTGACACCAGTATCAAGGTACATCAATGCACATGAAGCATCCGTGTACCATACCATGGACGGTTCACGGTTGGCATGCCACACGTTACAACAATATTTATCAAGTTTTGGTTTAAGGCTGATTTTAAACTTCATTTCCACAAGAAATTGAACCACACAAAATTTTATGTTTGGCAAAAAGCACTAGGAAAGGTAAGGATCAAACACAGACCTTGTACACTGGATGCACCGGGTCATCACAGTCTTCACCAATGGACCCAAATTCTTGTCAACCACAGATCTCTTCATTTCAGTGAAACGCCCACGATCGGATCCAAAGGCCATAGATTGATCCTGGAGATCAC